TATTTAAATATATTTTTAATGATTTTTCTTTAATAATGATTTTTTCTTAAAATAATATAAACAACAATGCAAATAATAGCATATTTAAGCAAATTCATTAGAATATAAATAGCAGTAAATATTTTAAAATAATAAACAGCCAAAATCAATTTTATTATTATAATTCTGCAACTTTTTTATTGTTGTTCATAAATTAAATATAAATTGCTGAAATGGGGGGTGGATCTCAAGGCGTGTGCATATTTAAAATATAATGAAAAGAAGTATATATTGTAGAAAACCACAGTAAGAACTTAATAGTTTTAAAGGATTTATAAAACAAAAATAAAGCAACAGTATTTGAGGTGGTTAAACTCAATCAAATATCTTTAAAGTATTCCCAGAGGAAGAAGACAATTTTTGTAGAATGATGTAAAAATTCATGTCCTTCCTCAGGCAAAGTTTTAACAATATGTAAGTCCATGAATCTGAGCATACATGGGATGAAATTTTTATTGTAATTCTAATCTGGATGAGATGGAGAAGATATTTTCAAAAGATTTAATATTTTCTGTAGTTTAAAATAAAAGAGGTACTCCCAAATGAAAAAAAGGGGGAAACAAAATAATAACAAACTACTTACAAAACATATGTTTTGAAAGTGTTTTGATATATAGCAAATCACATGCAAATGAGCTAACAAAACACTATAACAAGTTACTTTGAAAACACTCTAACAAACTACTAACAAAACGCTTTAACAAAATACTTAGAAACACTCTAACAAACTACTAACAAAACACTGTGTTTTGATAGTATTCCATTAGTATAGAAAATCACATGCAAATGAGGCTAACAAAACACTCTAACAAAATACTAACAAAGCATAAGTAACAAATCATCAATAAACCACTAAATTTGAATTTTTAAAATTATAATTAGCAAATTCACAAGTCTTTGAAAACATCTAAACACAGTCTTATATTGAAACATTACATGTATAAACATCTTGTTTCAAGTATTTTGAATTCCAGGTTTGACATTATTGTTCAATAGACAATAGTCCAACATTAAAAAACACCAAGTTCGATTCATGATCACTCTCTTATATCAATCATTCTCTGCAGTGAAATCCTTTGGTGTAAGAGATATAATTCTCAATCCAATGACCATTTCTCCATTCACATACATTTTCAAAGAATTTTCAAGTATAATTATAATTCATTTAACCCAGTGCTTAAAACTGATCTAATTAAGCTGGGTAGTATATGGATTAAAGGGATCAATCTTAAAATGAACAAAAACCCAATAAAAACAGGCCATATACACATCCACATTCACAGATTGAAGGTTTAACTGCATGTAGTCCAGTTTAAAAGAACTTTATGTCATGCAATAAAAAATACCTCTGTTATAAGATTCATCCTGAATCAGGGATCAATATATATACTAACACTTTACATGTCCCTTCACCAATCTCTTTGTTTCTCTCTGAGAGTGCTGGTGGTTTGGTAACACAGGATATAAATAGATAAGTTGTTCTTGGAAGAACTGCTCTTAGAAAGATGTCTGTTAATCAAATGAAAGCTAACAAAATATTAATTTGATGCAGACAAGTATAATGAAACACTTTCAAAATGCAATTTCATTCTGCAGAGTGTAATGAAACATTTTAAATAAAACACCAACATTGTAATGAAACATTAACAAAATACCATGCCACCCCATCCTGTAAAGAGCATTGATGCAACACTTTCAAAACATACTAAGAAAATATAAAAGTATGATTTGGTAGTGTTTTGAAGATATTTTGAAAGTATTTTGTTAGATTTCTTTTTCATTTGGGCTGTGAGCAATGAGCTCACTAAATGATACCCGCGCCTCCCATATGAATATAATGGCAGTGTCCATGTTTTGCTCTGGAAAATCAAAAATATATGTCAGATCAAAAAGTAAAATAGGAGGTGCAGAATGGCAATATGTAATTAAGATTCTGTGAAAGTTTCATTAAATTTCCTTCAGTGGTATGAGAGGAGCTATAGTTGTGGATAAGAGATGGATACCCCAAAGCATAACAGACGGACAGACAGACAGACAGACGGATGGATATACCGATTACTATATACCCTACCGTTTTTCAAGCGGGGGTATAATTATGGCAGTAAAAAAAAAAATCATTTTATTCAGTTGGAAAGGTAAAACGAATTATTTTTCATAATTAGCCTGGATAATAATTTATAAAATGTAAATGTTCTTGTATTTAATTTCAGATAATGCCAGGACACAAAACAGAATACTTCAACTGTGTATTGTGCTCTAAAAGAACAAAACCCAATGAAAGGAGGCATCTTGACAAAGGCATAAGAAAATATTTAAGAAAAAGGTTTATGGTGGAAGGAAGGGAAAATTCTGTCATCTGCAGCAAATGTAGAAGCAATTATTACAGAGATGTTTCATGCCGTAAATCATCTGCAACACCCTGCTCTACCACAATTCACAGGGAATTTCCAGCGTCCGAAACAAATGACAACAGAAAACATCTCTCCAGTCCACCATCTGTATCCTTGCACCTAAAATCCACTGCAAAGACTCATGCCTATTGTATCGTTTGTAAGAAACCAGGGCCCAAATTGATAGTAGTGTCACCAGAATGCCGCACATCTGTTTTTATTGAACACAATGTATTAATTCCATCCGGAAATAGATGTTGTCCTGGTCATGTGGAAAATGAACGCTTCACAACTGATGCAATTCAGCAATTACCGACGACAGACAATGCATTTGTTAACAGAACTACCATCCTAAGTTTACTTCAAGAGATGCGTGTTTTATGTCATAAACATGACAAGTCTTATTTGGACTTTGATGACACCACGACTCTGACCGATACAGACTATTTGTCTTTGCTGGGACTCAACAAGGAAGATTTCCATACAATATGTGACGCTGTGAAAGATGAAGTGAAACCAACACCGTCTAGGAGTGTAAGAAAATCTGTTGCCATATTCCTGTGCAAATTAAAGACTGGCTTGTCAAATCAAATACTGTCAACACTTTTCCAAACTTCCAAATCCAGTTTGAGGAGGGCTGTTAGTGCTGTAAGAGCAGCATTGATGATCAGCTTTGTGCCACACCATCTTGGGTTTGAACACATAAGAAGAGAGGAAGTCATCGAAGACCATACACGACAGCTAGCACAGACATTGTTTGGTAACATCGAGAAGAAACAGGCCATATTGGTACTGGATGGCACTTACATATACACAGCTAAGAGCAATAATTTCCACTACCAAAGACGTTCTTACAGCATCCACAAGGGGAGACCACTAATCAAGCCTATGGTTATCGTAACTACTACTGGTTACTTTGTCTCAATCTTAGGACCATACCTTGCTGATAATAAAAACAATGATGCATCAATTCTCCAACACATCATCAAAACAAATGCTGAAGATATTCGGAGCTGGCTAAGTGAAGACGACATCTTTATTGTTGACCGCGGGTTCAGAGATGCTTTGCCTCTGCTTGAAGATCTTGGAATCCAGGCAGAAATGCCCCGATTTCTGCTCAAGGGACAAAACCAAATGACTACTGATGATGCAAATATGAGCAGACTTGTGACAAAGGTAAATAACATGTAAATTCTCACAATAAAGTTATTTACAATTTCTTGTGAAAATATATATTACTATGAATAAGTTTTGAAAAAATATTTTTTAGGTCAGATGGGTAGTGGAATCTTCAAACGCACGCATCAAGAGGTGGCGATATTTGGACAAGACACTACCCACTAATCAAATTCCCTTCATCGGTGACTATGTCAGGATAGTTTGCGCACTCTCAAACAGATTCTCTCCACCCCTGAGTAAAAGTAACAACACTGAGGCTGATGATGCAGAGGCAGCAAAAATGCTCTATCTGTCCAAACAGGTATTTAAGTTGCACAATTGATTTATTGTATAATACCTTAATGTACTAGTAATTGAGCAGCTGCAAAAATCTGCATTTAAGAATACATTTAACTTTTTTAAATTTCATCTTGCTCATCTCCCTTGAATACATCAGCATATAAGTTATAATTACATGCGTATGGCTTTCTTAATAGGTGAATAATCTCAAACGAATGGTTCAAGAGAATGGACTTAACAGAAGATCTACTCAATGGCAAACAGTTCTTGAATGTGAAATTCAGAATTTCCCCATGTTCGATGAGGATCAGTTGCGGAATTTGACTTGTGGCACCTATCAATTGAAGCTCTCTCGTAGCTATATTCAAGAACACATTGAGGGAGGATGTGATATTTTCTTCCATAAAGAAAATGATAGGCTCCTAAAGGTGAAAATTCAGAGTCGGCACACATCATCAAAGCAGTATTTAGTTTGGATTGAGTATTCTGATTACTCTGTAGAGGCATGGTATTGTACCTGCAGAGCGGGTGCCAGAGTTGTAGGCATGTGCTCTCACATAGCAGCCATCATTTGGTACCTGGCAAAAGGAAGACATGAACAAAGGACATATGGTGTGCGTGACTGGAGTGAGCATGTCCTTGATGCAGCTGACATCCCACCTGCTTTGGACGAGTCTGACAGTGATGACAGTAGCTGTGAAAGTGTTCCCGAGGAGTGAACAGTTAGTTAATGTTAATTGTATTTTATTCATTGTTATTTTATATACACTGTATCTGTTGTATATAATGTTTTTAAAAAAATTATGTTATTTTTTCAATTTACTTGTTTAATCTGCTGTGTGAGTTTTAAGTCGGATGCGGAAATTGGGCCGCTCCGCATGTAGAGTATCATTTTTCAATTAACTTGTTTATAATCTCATGTGTGAGTTTTAAGTCGGATGCGGAAATTGGGCCGCTCAGCATGTAGAGTGTTATTTTTTCAATATACCTGTTTATAATCTCATGTAAAGTGTTATTTTTCAATTTACCTGTTTATAATCTCATGTAAAGTGTTATTTTTCAATTTACCTGTTTATAATCTCATGTGTGAGTTTTAAGTAGGATGCGGAAATTGGGCCACTCTGCATGTAGAGTGTTATTTTTCAACTTACCTGTTTATAATCTCATGTGTGAGTTTTAAGTCGGATGCGGAAATTGGGCCGCTCCGCATGTAGAGTATCATTTTTCAATTTACCTGTTTATAATCTCATGTGTGAGTTTTAAGTCGGATGTGGAAATTTGGCCACTACACATGTAGAGTGTTATTTTTTCAATTAACCTGTTTATAATCTCATGTGTGAGTTTTAAGTCGGATGTGGAAATTCAGTTGTTCAGCATGTAGAGTGTTATTTTGTCAATTAACCTGTTTATAATCTCATGTATGAGTTTAAGTCGGATGTGGAAATTTGGCCGCTCCGCATGTAGAGTATTTTTTAAATATACCTGTTTTTTCAATTTTTCAATTTACCTGTTTATAATCTCATGTGTGAGTTTTAAGTCGGATGCGGAAATTTGGCCGCTCAGCATGTAGAGTGTTATTTTTTCAATTTACCTGTTTATAATCTCATGTGTGAGTTTTAAGTCGGATGTGGAAATTTGGCCACTACACATGTAGAGTGTTATTTTTTCAATTAACCTGTTTATAATCTCATGTGTGAGTTTTAAGTCGGATGCGGAAATTTGGCCGCTCAGCATGTAGAGTGTTATTTTTTCAATTTACCTGTTTATAATCTCATTAGAGTGTTATTTTTCAATATACCTGTTTATAATCTCATTTGTGTGTTTTAATTCGGATGCGGAAATTTGGCCGCTCCGCATGTAGAGTGTTATTTTTTTCAATATACCTGTTTATAATCTCATGTAGAGTGTTATTTTTCAATATACCTGTTTATAATCTCATGTGCGAGTTTTAAGTCGGATGCGGAAATTGGGCCGCTCCGCATGTAGAGTGTTATTTTTTCAATATACCTGTTTATAATCCATGTAAAGTGTTATTTTTCAATTTGCTTGTATATAATCTCATGTGTGAGTTTTAAGTCGGATGCGGAAATTGGGCCGCTCTGCATGTAGAGTGTTATTTTTCAATATACCTGTTTATAATCTCATGTAAAGTATTATTTTTCAATTTACCTGTTTATAATCTCATGTGTGAGTTATTTTCGGATGCGGAAATTACCTGTTTATAATCCCATGTAGAGTGTTATTTTTCAATTTACTTGTTTATAATCTCATGTGTGAGTTTTAAGTCGGATGCGGAAATTGGGCCGCTCCGCATGTAGAGTGTTATTTTTTCAATATACCTGTTTATAATCCCATTTAGAGTGTTATTTTTTCAATTTACCTGTTTATTATCTCATGTGTGAGTTTTAAGTCGGATGTGGAAATTTGGCCACTACACATGTAGAGAGTTTTTTTTTCAAAATACCTGTTTATAATCTCATGTGTGAGTTTTAAGTCGGATGTGGAAATTTGGCCACTACACATGTAGAGTGTTATTTTTCAATTAACCTGTTTATAATTTAATTCTGTGTGAGTGTATTTGATTGGATAAAAAATTGGGCCGCTATCGCATGTAGAGTGTTATGACTTTTCAAAAATATACCTGTTTATAATCAAATTTTGTACAATTTGAAGTTATTTTTCAATATTCTTTTTTTCTTACATCAAATGAATGAAAATTAAATTTATGAATTTAATAGCTACCCATTTTATACGGTATAAACTGGGTTGGAACAGTTTACGCTTTTTATAAAAGTCGCGGTTTATAAATGCGGAAATTGGGCCGCTCTGCATGTAGAGTGTTATTTTTCAATTACCTGTTTATAATTTCATGTGTGAGATTTATGTCGGGTGTGATATTGTAGCAATAATCAGTAAAAAGGCATAGCTTGACTTTGCATATACACATTTTCTGATTTATGTATTTTCATGATTTACCTTAAAAATATGTTAAAGTGAAGTTTACTTCAATATTTTATGTATTGTTATGAATACTATTGGAGCAAGAAATACAAATGTTTACAAAACTGATAATTTTGTTGTTATTATTATTTTAAACTGACACTGTTACATTTGTAAAATGGTAAACAGCGTTACTGCTTATGAAGTATATATATTTTCTTTAGAGAAGTACATACTATAAGAAAAGCAAACACTAAACTCTTTTCCATGCCTCAGAATTTCTTTGAAAAGACCATGATAAATTGAGATTTATATAAAAATAATTGAATTTTCTCCTCTTTAGAATATATATGATATGTTTATTACTAATTAAGTTCACATCATGACGTTAAAGTATATATGATTGACGTCTTGACGTTAAAGTAAGTAACGGCAACGTCATGACGTTGTAGAATTAACATTGAGAACAATACCAAATTCAAACAGCTGTAAAAATAAAACTAGAAGAGATATTGTTAAAAAATAAAATGTTATATAATATACTAATCTAAGAGCATTGTTTGAAAAAGTTTCATCCGTTTCGATGACAGGGCGGATTTTTGTACATTCTGGCTTAAGTCCTTTCAGGATAGATAGTTTGTAGTTAAACCTATTTAAACCTGTTTTCAGTTTTTTTTATGCATGCCTTTATTTGTGAGTTATTGCCCTTTAATTGAAAATTTTTGATGTCTCGTTTCCACTGAAAATCTCAAAAATGACATAAGATATTTACACGAAAGTTGGAGAACTTGTAGCCAATACATTGTAGATGTGCACAACGATAAAATTATATAGCTGATTTCTTAAAGTTTGGAAGTTATAAACGGCAAATTTTAGTAATTTTTTTTCTTTGAATTTTTGCACCTTTTTGTGTAATAACTTTTAAACCGAGAATAATTTGGTAAGACATATAATACAAAAGTTGTGGGTAATTACGAGAGCTTTCATATTTGATTAACGAAAAGGGGCTGGCCCCTATAATTAGGGGCTAAAGGCTCATACACGCTTTTTTCTGATAGCTAAAAATATTGGTATATTGAAAAAGTTTGACTGAAATAATTTCGAACTTATAAAATCTTGTCATTTGATATAAAAAGAAATAAACTTCCAGCTATATTTAATTGTTTTTTTTTATAAAACAAGTACATGTATGTGAGAAACCTTTCAGGAACAAGTTGTCTACTATAGCCAGCCAAGCCTTTACTGCATACATGTGCACATTTTTAGCTGATGCATCTAAAAGATATAGTTTTGATTGGAGTCTCTTGTTTTCTTTTTATTCAAATAATTTTAAAAATGTGATGATGTACACAACAATAATTAGTACCTAGTTTAGAGGATTTTTTCGCGCTTGTTTGTAAACAACGCGCGGCATTGTGGGAAATAGGAAGGTACTAAAGACGCGATGTACTAAACCCTGATTTGACCGAATCCGGGATGTTTCGCGCCGATTCTGTTTCGCACTGCGATGTTTCGCGCCGGGATGATTCGCACCGATTTTGGTGCGAAACATCTCCCCCTCTTTTTTAAATATTTCATTTATTTTGTAATAAATTAAGATCATTTATTTAATCATAGAAATAAATATGTGTTTTATGCTCAAAATCATGACTTAATAATATGCGATGCCACAGGTAACGGATCGTAAATGTTAATATTGTGCCCGTTTGCTGAGCGTGTGTGTTCAACTATTTAATTGTAATTATTTGGAGATCAAAAGGTGAGAATTATTTCATTACAGCAATTATAAAGTTGTACAGCAATGATTCTTGCGAAAAGCTTGAAAACATATAATTTGTGTTACTGAGAACATTCACCAGGATGAGCTAAAATTTTTTTATTTTTTTTAAAAAGGGAAAATGGG